ATTGGGGGAGGAAATGGGAATGGAGGGGGAAATGGGAATTGGGGGCGAGAAATGGGATTGGGGGGGGAAATAGGAATTGGGGGGAAAAATGGGATTGGGGGAGGAAATGGGATTGGGGGGGAAAAATGGGAATTGGGGGGGGAAACTGGGATTGGAGGGGTTAAAGTGGGAATTGCTGGGGGAAACTGAGAATTAGGGGTAAAACTGGGAATTAGGAGAGGAAAATGGGATTAGGGGAGAAAACGGGAATTAGGGGAAAAACTAGAAATTAGGAGGGGAAAATTAAAAACTGGGAATTAGGGGAGAAAATGGGAATTAGGGGCGAAACAAGATTTAGGGGGAAAAACTGGGATTTAGGGAGTGTGGGGATGGGAAAAGAGGACTTAGGGGATGTGGGGTGAGTTTGGGGTCACCAGGGCAGGGGGGAAAATTGGGATTTAGGGGTCAAATCCCCCCAAGTTTCCTAAAAATCCTACAAAATCCAACATAAACCCCCCCCCAAATCAAATCCTTTGAAAATTCCCTGAAAAATTCCCAAAAAAATCCCCAGCAAAAAACCTCCTAAAAATCCCCTGAAATTCATTAAAAAATCCCTGAAAATCACCCCAAAAAATTCCAAAAAAATTCCCAAAAAATTCCCAGGAATTCCCCAGGAATTCCCGCCTGCCCGGGGCTCACCGGGGACCTGGTGGCCGCCGTAGGTGACGTTGAGGCTGTAGGTCCCGGGCTCGTACGGGATGTACTCCACGGAGCAGCTCCCGTCCTTGTTGTCCGTGCAGGACATTTTGGCTTCCGAGGGCCCCTCCACGGCCAGGCCCAATCCCCCCGTGCCGGCCCCCCTGGAAAAACGGGATTTGGGGTCATGGGAGGCGGAGATTTGGGGAAAAAATGGGATTTGGGGTCGTGGGAGGCGGAGATTTGGGGAAAAAATGGGATTTGGGGTCGTGGGAAGGGGAGATTTGGGGAGAAAATGGGATTTGGGGTGGTGGGAAGGGGAGATTTGGGAGGAAAATGGATTTGGGGTCGTGGGAACCCCAGTAGGATTTGGGGGATTCCCAGTGGGATCTGGGACAATTCCCAGAAGGATTTTGGGGATTCCCGCTGGGATTTTGGGAATTCCTGTTGGGATTTTGGGAACTGCTGTTGGGATTTCGGGAATTCCTGTTGGGATTTCAGGAATTCCCGCTGGGATTTCGGGAATTGCGTTGGGATTTCAGAAATTCCCGCTGGGATTTCAGGAATTCCCGCTGGGATTTTGGGAATTCCCGCTGGGATTTTGGGAATTGCGTTGGGCTCGGGGCTCTCACCGGGTCTCGACGGTGAATTTGTTGGGCACGTTGGTGGTGCCGCTCTGGATGCCGGGGCCGTGCACGCGGACGCGGGCGGGGTCACAGCCCTCGGTGACGGGGACGCGGAAGGGGCTCAGCGGCACCGGGGACCCGCCGTACGTCACATCCACCGTGTGCAGGCCTGGGGGCAATCCCAAATCCCTCCAAATCCCAGCCAAAATCCAGAAAATCCCAGCCCAAATCCATCAAATCCCATCCAAAATCCATCAAATCCTTCCAAATCCCAGCCAAAATCCATCCAATCTCCCCAAAATCCCCCCAAATCCTTCAGAGTCCCCCCAAACCCCCCAGAGTTGCCCCAAAATCCCTGGATTTGTGCCCCAAACGCCGCCGTGTTTCTCCAAACGCCGCCCGTTCCCGGAGCGGGAGGCGCGGCGCGCTCACCCTCCTCGTAGGGCGTGTACTCCACGTGGTAGGTGCCGTCACCGCGGTCCTCCACGAAGGTCTCGGTGACGTTTCCGGAGGGGTTGGACACCAGGGCCTTGAGCAGGGGACCCCCGGCCTTGGCCACGGCGCGGGCGTCCACCTCGAACTCGGTGACGGCCTCGCGGAACACGCCTGGCACCGGGAAGGTGGGGGGGTCAGCGGGGTCAGTGGGGTCAGAGGGGTCAGCGGGGTCAGCAGGGTCAGTGGGGTCAGAGGGGTCAGCGGGGTTGTCTTCTGAGGCAGCTGAGCCCAACTGAACCCAACCCAACTGAACCCAACCCAACTGAACCCAACCCAACTGAACCCAACT